TGCTACCAGAGCTCCTAAATATAGGAGACCACAATAGCAGCCCCTCCTTACCCCCCACCCCAGGATGCACTGAGAGCCAGCCCTTGGCTCTCTTTCGGAAGCATCCTTTCCTGCTTCCCTGTGTGGAGAAAGGCCAGCCTCTGGGACGTCTTTCCCCAGCCCTACAAAGTGGAGACAGGGGCAGGTTCTGGACTTCCTCCGGGCACTGAGGACAGAGCAGGAGAGAACAAGGTGAGCCAGACAGTCAGAGGGGACAGGCTGGCACTCCAAGAGTTCCACTTAATGGCCAGCTGAGCCTCGGTGAGAAGGGAAAGGGAGTGTAGGAAGACAGCCACCCAACCCCAGACAGAGGCACACACCAGCCAGTCTCTCACTTCCCTCTTTATTTCCTCTAAGACCTGCAAGAAGCAGCACCAGGGAGGGAACCCGCCCTCCCTCCCCTGGAAGGAGCGTGCCCCCCCACATCCCTTCCAGGACACAGCCAGCACCCTGAAGTCCCTTTCCTTCTGAGGGGAAGGTGGTGCGAGCACACACGCACACACACACATCAGGCACACACATGCACACTCCAGGCAGTGGACCCCTGAGACCTTAGGGGCAAGCAGCCTGTTCGCTGACTCCCTAAGCCCCTAGGCCGCAGGACTCCCAATGACGAAGCTGCAGAGAACAGGTCTCCTCCACCCCAACCGGGGAAGGAAAGGAAGCAGGCCCCATCCTCCAGCACAGGGGCTGTCTTCAGTCAATGGAGCGCTGTTTGGGGAGGCTTTTTTTAGGATATGTTTTTTTTTTTTCTCTCCCTTTTTGCAAATCTCTACAAAAATAGAACTCTGGGCATTTATAAATCCGCGGCCTCTGGCTCTGTGCGTGTGTTACAGGCAGAAAAGCCACATGAGACCATTCCCTTTGGTTGCTCAGGCGGCTGCCTGCCATTCAGGTCTCTGGGCCTCGAAGGTCTATGCCACCGTCGGCTCCGAGGTGCCAAGCACCTTCTGGGGCTCCACCCAGCCGGCGGCATACTTCCTCTGGAGCCGGGCACGGAAGTAGAAGAGGTAGCAAGGCAGCAGGAACCCCAGGAGTGAGAAGAGCAGGAGGCCCAGATTCACCTTTGAGCAAGAAGAAAGACACCAGGAGTCAAGGAGGCCACCTGTCTGCCCTCTTCCTGCTTAGGGACCCTCCTGAGCCTGTGCCAGGCAAGAGAGCACAGCCATTTGTGCGCCAATGCGGGCCAGGATGGGAAACGTCCCTAGTACTTGTTATATGCTTATTATAACAGGCATTTGCCATGTGCCTGTTGCTGCTGTTAGCTGCCAGCTCATGGCAACCCCGCACCTGCAGAGTAGAACAGCTCCAAAGGTTTACAAGGCTGTGACCTTTCAGAAGCAGACCACCAGGTCTATTTCCCAAGGTGTCTCTGGGTGAGTTTGAACCTCCAACCTTTCAGCTAATAGTTGAGTTACCCAGAAACTCCAGGGTATGTGCTTCAAAAAAAAAAAAACCTCACTGCCATTGAGTGGACTTCGACTCATTGTAATGATCCCCATTGGGTTTCCAAGGCGGTAAATATTTACGGAAGTAGGTTGCCCAGTGTTCCTTCCGCAGAGTGGCTGGTGGGTTTGAACCGCTGACCTCCTGGTGAGTAGTCAAATGCCTTAGGCAGTGCACCACCAGAGCTCCTCAGGGTATGTGCTTACTATGTAGCAACTGGTCCCTCGATTAGCACAAGGTCCCAGGTGGAATAAATATTTTGTGCTCATCTGCTAACCCAGTGATGGTTCAAGTCTGCCCAAGAGCCCCAAGGAAGAAAGGCCAAGGAAACCCCAGGGCGCATTCTCCTGTCCCACATGGGGTCACCATGAGCTGAGTCATCTCGTCACAGCAGGTGCAGTTTTAGCTTTAGGTTTTTCATGGATGTGCCATGCCAGTCAGTGTTCATCTAGCTCACTGCATGTACAGCAACCTTCTAAGGTGGCTTAGATGTGAACACTTGCTTAGGTCTACTAAGTGGCAGAGCCTGGCTTTGAGCCCCAGCTAAGACCAGTGCCCATACAATTGGGCAACAGGGCACCCTTTGTGCAATCAAGGAAAAGAAACAGCACTGTGGGACTCTGGGCAGGTCATGCTGCTCCCAAAATGTGACCTTCCTGATAGAAGCCTCATGCTTTGGGGACACTGACCAGAGGGCATTCACTCAGGAGGTCCCCTGGGCTGGTGAGAGGAGGCTCTCGGGCATATTTAGAGGTGCTGGGACATGAGCAGGGAGGACAGAGGGCTTGGTAGGGCCCTGGAAGTGGCCTCAATGAATGGGCTCTGGCTCCATTCACATCCCAGTATATGATTCGGAGCAAGTAATCCTAACCCTACATGGCTACTTCTCAGGGCTGCGCATGCAAAGATTAAGTGGGAAAGTGTGCCTGGTGTACTTGGCACCCAGTGAGTGCTCCGGAAATGGTAGCTGTTATTCCAGCAGTACTTGTGGGGGGAGGGTTCACATGGCACAGGGAGGCCAATGCAGCAGATGTCAGCACAATGTCAGAAAAAGCCTTTCTAACAAGAACCATGGCTGCCTCGGGCGGGAAGGCCCCTGGGGTGGCACGGTTTGTGCTTGACTGTTAACCTGTTAACTTCAACTGTTAACCGGTTTGAACCCACCCCGTGTTGCCATGGAAGACTGGCGATCTGCTTCCACCAAGATCACAGCCTCTGTGCAGTTCCACTGTGTCACGTACGGGGGGCTGCGAATCAGAGTGGACTCAACAGTGTCGGGCTTAGCCTCGTGTAGGAAGGGCACCCCCTCACTGTGGTAGGGAGGAGTCCCCTTCCAGGGGTGCTGGAGAGGGATTCCTGCATCAGGTGGAACCAGACTGCAGCGGTGGTTCCAGAACACAGGTACTGGGATCAGGTCTGGCCAGTCCACGAGTCACTTGGAAGCCCACTACAGACAAACGCCTGAGCCTGCAGTCAAGAGAGGCTGACCCAGGAGGCTGGCGAGTCTCTCTAGCATTCTGTCGAGGGCTCCAGCTAGGGACCTCCCAGGGCAGAGGCCTCCTGGAGGGTTCTTCTGGCTGGCATGTGACAGGGGCGGGGAGTCTATCACAAACCAGCCCTCAGCTCACCCACTGCACCCCACAAAGTAGCCACAGCATGTTCCTCCCCCACACCAGCCCTGGTTCTCACCCAGAAGGGGTCTCCTTTCAAGGGTCCCACCATGGCCATGAAGAGTGGCTGCTGTAGCAGGGCGAACACAGCGCTGATGAGGGACTGCAGGCCCGTGAGTGTCCCAAAGTGGTTGGATGGGAATCTGTCAGGGAGGGGCCCAAGCATCAGGGGCGAGGAGCCCTCTCAGGCCCCAACGCCCCTCTTGACCCTCCCCCAGATATTTCTCTGCTTGTACTCTCTGGTTGCTCAGACCTCAGCTGCCCAACACCAGGTCCTTTGGCCTTGAAGGTGTACGCCGTGGCTTCGGGGCCGCTGAGCTGGGTGCCGACACCTACTTTATGTGTGCTAATAGCAAGTTAGGGAGCCCTGGTGGCACAGTTAGTGCTCAGCTGTTAAGCAAAAGGTTGGCATTTCAAACTCACCAGCTGCTCCATGGGAGAATGACGTGGCCATCTGCTCTTGTTAACAATTACAGCCCTGGAAACCCTACGGGGCACTTCTACTCTGTCCTATAGGGTCGTAATGAGTTGGAATCGACTCAATGGCACACAACAAAACAGCAGTCTCTCTGAGTCCCACATCCCTCCTCCAGTAACAGGGAGAGCACTGACCTCACTGGCTTGCTTGTTCTTCTTCTTTTCTACTTTGGTGTGATGAAAATACACAAAAGCAAACACTGACCCATTCAGCACTGTCTGCATGGCTAACTCGGTGACACTGATTGTGTTTTCCATAGTGTGTGACCATCCTCTCTTCCAAATTCATTTACTCTTTCAGCAGACAGTTGCTGAGCTCCTACTATATGCCAGGCCCTGTTGGGGATGGCCAGGGCAGGCCTTAGCAACAAGAGGATGTCAGGTGAAGACCTGAAGGTGTGGGCTTGAGCCTGTGGGTATCTGGGGGCAGGTTTCTAGGAGGAGCGGCAAGGACAAAGGCCCTCACTGGGGAATGTGCTTGGGGTGCAAGGTGGCCAGTGTGGCAGGAGCAGAGTGCGTTGAGGGGGAGTGCTATGGCTTGACTGTGTCCCCCCAAAATGTGTGTTGTAATTCCTATACCCCTCGCCTGTGGGTGTGATCCCATTTGTAAACAGGACTTGGTTATGTTCATGAGTCACTCTCAGTGTAGACTGGGTCCTAATCACCGCTGAGATATAAAACAGGGTAGGTTAGGCACTGAATCCAGGAAGCACAGGTGTAGGGAGATAGGGGAGATGTGGAAGTCCCAGCAACTGAGGAACAGAAGCTGAAACGAGCCCAGGGCCTTCCGCCAGAGCTGGTGCCCTGCGTTCAGACTGCTAGCTTCCTAAACCGGAACAAAGTACATGTGTTTGTTAAAGCCACACCCACTTGTGCTGTTTGTTATAGCAGCACCAGGTAACTGAGACGGAGAGCGTAAGAGAGGGCCCAAGGCCGTGGTAAACCAATAGGCCCTGCAGGCCACAGCAAAGCCTTCGCCTTTATCTGACAGACAGGAAGTCGTGGAGTGCTCTGAGCCGTGACATGACCAGAGTTATATCTTAACAGGTGACTCCAGCACCTGTGTTAAAAATAGACTGACGAGCACCAGGATAGAGTGGAGAGACCGTTCAGAGGCCGTGCAGTAACAGGCCAGGGATGCTGGGGGCTCAGACCAGGACAGCAGTGGTGGGGGTGATAAGAAGGGGCAGATTTGCACACTGTGGGCATTTAATGTGGAGCTGATGGGACTGCTGGTGGGCTGGGTGTGGCTTGGGTGCCTGAAGGAACAAGGTGTCCCCTCTTCAGGGAAGACTACAGTGAGGCTCAGATGAGGGAATGCAGGTAAGTGACTAGTACAGCGCCTGCCCCAGGGAGCACCGGGTGATGGTGTTCCCATCACACACACTGGGCAGAGCCGGGCAGAGGAAGGGAGAAGGAACAGGAGTTGTTTGGTGTGAAGAACAGAAGCCATAAAGCATGAGACATGATTCTCGTCATGTCACTCCTCTGTTCAGAGCACTCCACGGCTTCCTGTTCCACTCAGATAAAAGCCAAAGGCTTTGCTGTGGCCTCGAAGGCCCTAGGAGGGACAGTGGTGGCTCAGTGGAGTCCTCGCCTTCCATGCCAGAGACCCAGGTCTGAGGTCCCGGGCAAAGCACCTCATGTGCGGCTCCGCCCATCTGCCCATGGTGGCTTGCTTGTTGCTATGAAGCTGAACGGGTTTCTGCTTCTCGACTACAACAGACTAGGAAGAAAGGCCTAGTGATCTTCTCGCAAGAAAAACCAGCCGATGAAGATCCCATGGATGAAATGGCCCGAACCCATCATGCCCGGGTCGGGGTGAGTCCACAGCCACCGACACCAAAGGCCCTGCCGGATCCGGCCCTGCTACCTCTCCACCCTCCTCCTTGCATCCTCACCTTCACTCCCTCGGCTCCCGCCACAAACCTGTAAATTACAAGGCAAGAAGGACTGATGTCTACAAATTTCTGCAGAGCTCGCAGGTTGAGAGAAGGTACCATTGGGCCATTCCAGAGAGTAGACAAAGGACCAAAGTGTCAACAAACCAAGTGTTATGAATTGAATTCTGTCCCACAGAAATACGTGTTGTAAACCCTAACCCCTCTTGGGAAGTGGATGAACCCCTGAAGGTACTGCCCTGAGATAATCTTTAAAACTTAAACCAGAAGTGTTCCCTAAAGTCTTCTTAAAACCAAACAATTAGTGAGCTTAGCTAGTAAAAAAGGTCTGCCTTGAGGTTTATGCTCTTTTAATAATGATCAAAACAAAAAAAAACCTGATTCCCATTGAGTCGATTCTGACTCCTAGTGGCCCCCACTGGGTTTCTGAGACTGTAAATCTTTACAGAAGTAGATTGTCCTATCTTCCTTCAGCTGGTGGGTTTAAACTGCCAACCTTGTGGTCAGCATTCAAATGCCTTACGCACTATGCTACCAGAGTGCCTTTAAGAACTATCTGTATGAGATTAAAGTAACAGCAACTTGGAGGATTTGTTAGGAACCTTAGGGGACAGCTGAAGAAGCTCTGGTGGCACAGTGGTTAAGGTGTTGAGCTGGCAGTTTGAACCCACCAGCCACTCCATGGGAGAAAGATGAGGCAGTCGGCTTCTGTAAGGACTTACAGAAACTGGGAAACCTTATGGGGCAGTTCTACTCAGTCCTATGGGGTCAATCTGAGGCAGAGTCAACTCAATGGCAGTGGGGTTAGGGGGCAATGAGTTTATGTTATGAGAGAAACAAATCAGAAAAGGAGGGTGGAATGGTTGCCCAGCTCAAAGAATAATCGACACCACTGAAATGTACATGTAGAAATGGTTGAATGGGTGCATGTTTTTCTGTGTATACTGTCAACTAAACAATGTAAGAATTAAAAAAAAAAAAATCCTAGCCCTTCAGGATGCCATTCCATTTGGGAATAGGGTTTTGTTACATTGATGAAGTCATCAGTGCAGGGTGTATCTTAAACAGAACCACTTTTGAGATGTTAACCAAAAAAAAAAAAAAAAAAAAAAACTCACTGCCATCCAGTCATCCAGTTGGATCATCTCAAAGCGACCCCCCTCCTTAGGTTTCCCAGGCTTGGGTTTCCCAGGCAGTATCACTACAGAAGCAGATTGCCCAATCTTCCTTCAGAGAAGTGGCTGGTGAAGAGTGGCTAGTGGGTTTGAACCACCAGCCTTCTGGGTAGCAGTCAAATGCCTTAGGCAGTACACCACCAGAGCTCCTAAAACCAAACTCACTTCTGTCGAGTTGACTCATAGCAACCCCTCCTTGGGTTTCTGAGGCAGTATCTCTATGGAAGTAGATTGCCCTATCTTCCTTCGAGGAGTGGCTGGTGGGTTTGAACCATCAGCCTTCTGGTTAGCAAATGCCTTAGGCACTATGCCACCAGAGCTCGTGCACACATGCACGCATGCACACACACACATGGGAAGGAGTGGTTCCATAGAGACCACCGAGGAACACAGACAAGGGTTTCCCCCCAGAAAAGACAGAAGTGCCCAGACTTCAGAATGCCAGCCTCCAAAACTGTCAAACTATGGTGGCCTGTGTGTTGCTAAGATGCTAGAAAGGTTTCAGTGAAGCTTCTAGACTAAGACAGACTAGGCAGGAGGACCTGGTGATGTACTTCTGAGAAAACTGGCCAGTGAAAACCTTATCAACAGCAGAACACTGTCTGATACAGTGCTGGAATATGAGCCGCTCAGGGTGGGAGCCCCTCAAAACACGACTGCCTCCTCAAAATGGAGCTGACCTTAACGATGTGGCTGGAGTACAGCTTTTGGGGCCTCCATTTGCTGATGTGGCATGATTCAAAATGACAAGAAATAGCTGCAAACATCCATTACTAATTGGAAAGGGGAATGTACGAAGTATAAATCTAGGAAAATTGGAAGTCTTCAAAAATGAAATGGAATGCACAAAGATGGATGTGCTAGGCATTAGTGAGCTGAAATGGACCAGTACTGGCCATTATAAATCAGACAAATGTATGGTCTACTATGCTGGGAATGACAAACTGACAAGAAATGGCATCACATCATCGTCAAAAAGAACATTGCAAGATCTGTCCTGAAGCACAACACTGCCAGTGATGGGATAATATCCATACGCCCACAAGGAAAACCAGTTAATACTACTGTTACTTTAGTGGCCCCAACCACTCAAGCCGAAGGTAAAGATTTTTACCAACTTCTGCAGTCTGATATTGACCAAACATGCAATCAAGATGTATTGATTATTCCTGGTGATTGGAAAGGAAAAGCTGAAAACAAAGAGGAATCATCAGTAATTTGAAAATAAGGCCTTGGTGATAGAAACGACTACCAGAGAGCGCATGACAGAAATTTTGCAAGACCAATGTCTTATTCCTTGTAAACACCATCCTTCAACAATATAAACGGCAACTAGACATGTGGATATCACCAGATGGGATACACAGGAATCAAGTTGACTGCATCTGTGGAAAGAGACCATAGAGAAGCTTAATATCACCAGTCAGAATAAGGCCAGGGACTGACTGCACACCAGACTGTCAACTGCTCATGTGCAAGTTCAAGTTGAAGCTGAAGAAAATTAAAATTAGCCCATGAGAGCCAAAATACAAACTTGAGTATAGCCCACCTGAATTTAGAGACCATCTCAAGAACAGATTTCACATACTGAACGCTAATGACTGACGACCAGACGAACTGTGAGTCTATCAAAAATGCCATATAAAAAGAAAGGAAAAGGTCGTTAAAAAAGACAAAAAGAGATGGCAGAAGAGACTCTGAAACTTGCTCTTGAATGTAGAGTGTCTAAAGCAAATGGAGAAAAGTGAAGTAAAGGAGCTGAACATAAGACTGCAAAGGACAGCCTGAAAAGACAAAGTATTATGATGAAATGTGCAAAGACCTGCAGTCAGAAAACCAAAAAGGAAGAACATGCTTGGCATTTCTCAAGCTGAAGGAACTGAAGGAAAAAAAATCTAGCCTCGAGTTACAATACTGAAGGATTCTGTGGGCAAAATAATGAACGATGCAGGAAGCATCAAAAGAAGATGGGAGGAATATACAGTCACTGTATCAGAAAGAACTGGTTGCTGTGCAACCATTTCAGGTGGTAGCATATGACTGAGAACCAATGATACTGAAGGAAGAAGAAGCTGCACTGAGGGCATCGGTGAAAAAGAAGACTCTAGGAACTGACAGAATACCGAGATGTTTCAAGAAGTGGATCCGATGCTGGAAGCACTTACTTGTCTATGCCAAAAATCTGGAAGGCAGCTGCCTGGCCACCTGACTGGAAGAGGTCCGTGTCTGTGCCCATTCCAGAGCAAGGTGATCCCATAGAATGGGGAAGGTACCCAACAATATCATTAATGTCACAGGCAAGTAAAATTTTGCTGAAGATAATTCAAAGATGGTTGCAGCAGTCCATCGGCAGGAAACTGCCAGAAATTGAAGCCAGAGTCGGAAGAGGGCATAGAAAGGGGGTATCACTGCTGATGTCAGATGGACCTTGGCTAAAAGCAGAGAATACCAGAAGCATGTTTACCTGTGTTTTAATGACTATGCAAAGGAATTTGACTATGTGGATCATAACAAATTGTGGACAACATTGCAAAGGATGGGAATTCCAGGACACTTAATTGTGCTTTTGCAGAACCTGGACACAGACTAACAAGCAATTGTTCAAACAGAACAAGGGGATACTGTGTGGTTTTAAATCAGCAGAGGTGTGTGTCAAAGTTATATCCTCTCACCATACTTATTCAATCTGTATGCCGAGCAAATAATTTGAGATGTATTATGTGAAGAATGCGGCATCAGAATTGGAGGAAGAGTCATTAACAACTTGTGACATGCAGATGACTTGAAGCACATGTGGATGAAGTTAAAAGACTACATCCCTCAGTAGAGACTACACTTCAACATAAAGGAAACAAAATCCTCACAACTGGCCCAATAAGCAGCATCATGATAAATGGAGAAAAGACTGAAGTTGTCAGGAATTTCATTTCACTTGGATCCACAATCAATGCCCATGGAAGCAGCAATCAAGAAATCAAATGACATATTGCATTTGGCAAATGTGCTGCAAAAGACCTCTTTAAAGTGTTAAGGAGCAAAGGTGTCACTTTGAGGATGAAGGTGCCCCTGACCCAAGCCATGGTATTTTCAGTTGCCTCACATGTATGTGAGACCTGGGCAATGAATAAGGAAGACTGAAGAAGGGCTGATGCTTTTGAATGATGGTGTTGCTGAAGCATACTGTATATACCACAGACGGTCAGAAGAATGAACAGATCTGTCTTGGAAGAAGTGTAGCCAGAGTGCTCCTTAGAAATGTAGATGGTGAGATGTCATCCTACACGCTTTGGATATGTTAGGAGGGCCAGTCCCCGGAGAGGGACATCATACTTGGTAAAGGAGAGGGTCAGTGAAAAAGAATATGACCCTCAGTGAGATGGACTGACACAGTGACTGCAACAATGGGCTCAAACAGCAATTATTGGGAGATGGTGCAGGACTGGGCACAATTTTCATTCTGTTTCATTCATTTCATTCCATTGTATAAGTTAGAACCGACTCAGTGGCACTTAACAACAACAACAACAAACTGTGAGAGAGCCCTAGTGGCAAAGTGGTTAAGCACTTGGCCGCTAACCAAAAGGTCGGTGGTTTGAACCAACCAACTGCTCCAGAGAAAAATGTGCAATGTACTTCCACAAAGATTACAGCCTTGGAAACCCTATGGAGCAGTTCTACTGTCCTAAAGGGTTGCTACAAGGCAGAATTGACTCAACGGCAATGAGTCTGGTTTCTAAACTGTGAGGAAATGAATCTCCTCTGTTAAAGCCCTCCACCTGTGCTTTTTCTGTTACAGCAGCATTAAGTGTGTATGCAGTTCCACACAGTGAGAGAGGCTTTGGGGACTAGCTCCTTATCACTAGAGGAACTCTGAGAGGCCCGCGGGGTCCGACGGCCTCCACCAGCTCTGGGACATCAGTATTGGCAGCGAGGATGGGAGCTAGGGAGGAGGGGTGTGCACACACAGGTGGGGGGGACATTCAGAGCAGTCCAATCCAGTCCTTTCATCTCTGTTCTGGGACTCTCTGGTTAGGGGAGAAGGCTCGGGGCAGCATGCCCAAGCTGACTCACATGGCAGCGTAGAGGCCTCCGCAGGCAGAGTGGAAGAAGCCCCGAACCATGGTGTGTAGGACGAAGGTCACAAACTGAAACCAAGCCCAGAACAGGGAGGTTACGAGAGAGTGTGCAGGCAGGAGGAATGGGGGAGGGGTTGCAAAGAGAGGATCAGAACCATGCTGAGCCCGTCCACACATGCCAAGCCCCTTTCCAACCCACACCCTGAGACACTTCCTGGAGAACCCGGAAGACAGGCAGACAGGGAGGACGAGAACCTGGAGTCCCCAAGAGCAAGTGATGGAGGGCCAGCCCACTGCAGAGCCCTGCAGACAGAAAGGAGGAGCCCCAGTGGTGCAGTGGTTAAGTGCTAACCAAAGGGTTGGTGGTTTATACCAACCAGCCACTGCACTGGAGAAAGACGTGGCAATCTTGGAAACCCTGTGGGGCAGCAGTTCTACCCCCTCTAGGGTCCCTATGAATCGGAATGGACTCAAAGAGGTAGACAGGGGGAAGGAGGGAGGGGAAGTGGGTACCTGGAGATGTAAGTCGTTGATGAGGCAGGTGATGCCAAACCCCACGAGCAGCAGGTTGGTCAGGGTGAAGGCGTTGATGGCATTGGTGAGCTTCTGGATCTTGCGATAGCGCGGCAGCTGGGTGGGCTTGGTGGCCATCCCGTCCCTGAGGAGGAAGGCAGTTCCAGGCTGTTGCTTGTACCTCCCCGGCAGCTGACGCCCAGCCCAGGCCCTCCCCCTGCAGGTGTGCGGGCAACTTGAAGGCCGTGGGGGCAGCAGCAGAGATAGAAAACGACTTCCCCACACATGCTCCCTGCCACATACCAGCATTACCTGGGGGCTTGCTTAAACACGCAGCTTCCCAGACTCTGCCCCTGACTCCACACTCTCAGGACTGGGGGCCAGGAAACTGCATTTTGACAAGTACCCCAGAGGTTTCTCGTGCACACTGGCCACCGTGCAGCCTAAGGGGAGCAGTCCTGCTCTAAGGGCAGCAACTTGACCCCTGGCTTCCCAGTAAGCTTCTCTCTCCCCTCTCTTTCTGCATGATCAAGACCTGTTGGGGTTGGCCCACTGGCGAAGGCAGTGGGCTGGGGTGAGGGCAGGCTGCCCGTCTGTGCTGGCTGATAGAAGCTGGCCATCAGGAGCAGAGGAAGAAGCCTGGGTGCCTGGGCTGGGGCAGGAAGGGAAGCCGCCAGACTGTTCCATGTATGCCTTCCCTCCTCCCTCGTCTTCCATCCTTGCAGGACAAACAGGGACTATCCAGATTAGCACAAAAAGAGTAAGAGCCACCTCGAGGGTGGTAACCAGCCTCCATGATGGCCTCCAGGGGTCCCTGCCCTGGTATTCACACCTTGTGTGGTTCCTCCCACATGCTGTACCGCGGTGGTGTCTGCAACCAGCAGAATGTAGCAGAAGTGAGGGTATGTCACTTCTGAAATTAGTTTGTAAGAGACACTGTGGCTTCCATCTCAGGGCCTTCTCTCAAGCTCGTCTCTTGCTCGGGGGGAAGCCAGCTGTCATGCTGTAAGCAGCCCCAGGGAGCCGGGCTTGTGCAGGGGAGCTGACTTTCTGCCATTGGCCATGTGAGCCAGCAAAGAAGCAGGCTCTCCCTCAGTCAGTACGTCAGGTGACTGCAGCCCTGACGGACAGTCTGAACGATGGCTTAGGGGAGACCTGAACCAGAACCACTCAGCTCAGTCATTTCCAGGTTCCTGCCGGACCCCCAGAAACTATGTGACATAATAAATGTTTGTTCTCTTAAGATGCCAGGTTTTGGTGTATTTGTTATAAGCAGTAGATACCATTTGCACCAGATCCATCTCTTCCCAGCCCTAAGAAGAATTTAAGGGTACTCTCGGTATTACAGCCTCTGGAGCTTGGGTAAGTTACGTGTCAACCTTTCTGTGTCTCAGCTTCCCCATCTGTGAAGTGGGGATAACAATGTCTCTGCCTCAGAAAGCTGCCATGGGGACTAAATGAGACAAGGGGAGGTGCTCAGTGCCCAGTCAGCACTCAACGTTGGTGGTTCTTACTAAGAAAATCAAGCCCTCTTAGCCTCAGTATCCTCATCTGTAAAATGGGCTCTCGGGATCAAGAAATAAGAGGTTGGATGTGAAAGCACATAAAAGATGAAACCCCATCTGACTTCTTGCTGTCACCATCCTGTCCAGGTCACCTGGCGTCTCCAAGGGCAGTGCCCTCGGTGGGGTCGTCCACGCAGTCCTTGATCCGCCAGTCCATGATGTAGCCAATGAGGGGGCAGGTGAGAAGGCACAATAGCTGCATGGCCCCAAAGATGGAGGAGAAGACCCCAACTGGGCAGGGGGGAAAGGAAAGTGGGGTCAGGACTTGGCCCAATGGACGCCAGCAGCCCAGTGGGCAAGTGACACCCACTTCGAGTGGAGGAACAGCAAGTTCCAAAAGAAGCTTCTGATCCCAGGTTCCTAGCTCCCCAAAATGCCCAGGGTGACAAGGGAGGGTCCAGGCACAGAGGGTTCCTGCCCCTGTGGCGTGGGCAAGGGCCCCGGCGTTCACCCCTACCTGTCTCTGCTGCCCTTTGTCTCAGCTCGTCCGTCACTGTGGGTAGGGGGAAAGCCGAGGTGAGAGGTGCTCAGCCAGGGTGGCCCTCCCTGCCCCCCGGCCCCCAGTGGGCTCAGCAGTGCCTCACCATGCTCATGGCCACCAATCACAATGTACTCCAGCATCTTGTTCATGGCGGCCATGTAGAAGATGACCCGCAGCTGGGTCATACCCATGGTGAGGAGGCTCCACAGGAAAATGGGGGCGCAGAGACTTTTGCGGAAAGGGATGGACTCTGGGAAGACAGCAGGGGGCACCCCTGAGCCCCAGGCCTTCCATATAACACTTGTCCCAGTGCACAAGGTTCTGATGGAGGCTCTGATATTAACTCTGTGCATTTGGAGGGCTATCTCTCCTTGGGGCTGGCTTCTTCCGTGGTAAAATAAGAGGTTCAGGGTTCAGACTCATTGGCCTCCAAGTTCTTACTCAGCTCCATGACTGTCTCAGCTGAACACTTTCAGGTGACCTATGCTCTGTTGGAAGGAACTCTGGTGGCATAATTCCTAAGGCATCTGACTGCCAACCAGAAAGGTGGTAGTTCAAACCCACCAGACACTCAGTGGAAGGAAGACTGGGCAATCTACTTCCATAAAGATTTACTGCCTCAGAAACCCAAAAGGTGTCACTAGGAGTCGGAATCAACTTGATGGCAGTGAGTTTGGTTTGGTTTTGATACACTTTGTTGGTGCTGGCTGCCACTGAGTTGGCCCAACTCATGGTGACCCCAAGCACAATGGAAGTGTCCTGTACCACCCCATGATTGGTTGGGGATCACATCATGGTGACCCACAGGGTTTTCACGGACTGATTTTTGGAAGTAGGTCACCAGCCTTTCTTTCTAGTCTGTCTTATCTGGAAGCTCTGCTGAAACTTATTCAGCAACACAGACATCTCCACCACAGACAAGTGGTGGCTGAACATGAGGTACGTTGGCCATGAGTCAAGACCAGGTTTCCCTCTCACTACTATTCATTATGCACTTACTATGTGCTACACAGGAGCTCTGGTAGCATAGTCCCTAAGGCATCTGACTGCTAACAAGAGGCTGGAGGTCCAAATCCACCAGCCACTCCTCAGAAGGAAGGTTGGACAATCTATTTCTGCAGTGATATCACCTCAGAAACCCAAGGAGGGATCGCCATAAGTTGGATCTGATTCGACGGCAGTGAGTTTTTTGGAGTACTTGGGTGGTTCAAACCGTTATGCACTCGGCTACTAGCCTAAAGTCGGCAGTGAGTTCACCCAAAGGTGCCTGGGAAGATAGGCCCGGTGATCTACTTTTAAAAATTAACCAAAAAAAAAAAAAAACACCAAACCAAACTCACTGCCGTCGAGTGGGATCTCAAATCTCAAAGCGACCCCTCCTTGGGTTCCGAGGCAGTATCACTATGGAAGTAGACTGTCCAATCTTCAGAAACCCTAGGGAGCTCTAGACTTTCTGGAGCCATGCAGTGGATGAACCCCTGAATCTACTGCCCTGAGTTCATCTTTAAAACTTAAACCAAAATTATCCCCTGAAGTCATCCTGAGCAATACTTTAGCTTAACTAGTAATAATGGTCTGCCTTGAACATTACACTCTTTTAAGAACTACCTACACGGGATCAAGTTGACTACAGCAATTCCAAAGATTAGAGAGGAACCTTGGTGGGCAGTGAGTTTATATTCCTGGGGGACCAACAACTAGGAAAAGCAGGGTGAGAACGGTCGCACACCTTGAGGAATGTTATCAATATCCCCGAGTTGAACACGTAGACCCTGGTGAGTAGGTGCATGTTTTGCTGTGTATATTTTCAGACAACAAAATAAAATTTAAAGAAAAAAGGAAAACCCTAACGCACACAGGGGAGCTCTGGTAGCCTAGTGCCTAAGGCACTCGACTACTAACCAGAAGGCTGGCGGTTCAAACCCACCAGCCAGTCCTCGGAAGGAAGATGATGCAATCTACTTCCATAGTGATGCTGCCTCTGAAACCCCAGGAGGGGTCGCTATGAGTGGGGTCTGACTCAACGGTACATAACAACAACAACAACAAGGCACACAGTTCGACTGACACACATGTAGTCACCATGAGTTGGAATCAACCCAACAGCATCTGGTCTGGTTTGGTTACATGCTACACTCTTGGCACATATTATGCCATTTGGTCAAATCTTACAACCATCGTTTTCATCCCATTTTACAGATGAGGAAACTGCAGCGCCAAGAGGTGAAATGATGGCCGGAGCGGCAGGTCGGTGTGACTTGAACTTGTGCCTTTACCACTCTGCCAGGTGGGTCAGCAGTGGAGGTAATAACGCCCCTCAGGCCTGGGCACCGCTTTGCAGTTTGTGGAGCTGCCACGTCCGTGACTCCATTCGACCCTCACACTAAGTTCCCTGGGCCGTTTTTCACATCAGGTAAAAAGATGAGGAAGTGCTGAGCAGTGAAAGCACAGGTGAGTGACCTACCCAAGTCACAAGGTTGGAAAGTGCGGAGCCGAGCCTCAGAGCCCCATCTCCTGGCTCCAAGACCCGTGCTCCTTCCGTGAAGTGGTGGAGCAGACAGTCTGGGGGGTCCCAGGCACCTTGGGAAGTGACCCAAGCCGAAGGTCCCTGACCACCCCACTGGCTCCCTGGGAAGCAAGGAGAGGGCAGTTCCTCCTGGGGCCAGCAGGGGGCCCCCCAGCTAGCTACTCTCCTGGTTGCATCTGACGTAAGGTCAGAGAGGGCAGAGGTCTCTGAAGGAACCAGCTGTTCCCCAGGCCTGGAGACCATGCCCACATTTTGGCAGCTCCTCCTTCTCCCATCCCACGAATCAGCAGGGTACCCCTGTTCTGAATTTCCCACAGTTCTCTGAGCTTTGATTTCCTCATCTGTAGACAGAGTGCCTAAGGAGTCCTGGTGGTGCAATGGGTAAGGGCTCAGCTGCAAGGCAACGAGTTGGTGGTTCAAACCACCCCCAGCTGCTCCTGTTACGATTCCAAAACCAAAAAACAAACTCACCGTCACTGTTGTTGTTGTTATTTGCCATCGAGTTGGACCCGACTCATTAACGACCCCTCCTTGGGTTTCCGAGGCAGTATCACTACGGAAGTAGATTGCCCAGCCTTCCTTCCGAGGAGTGGCTGGTGGGTTTGAACCGCCAGCCTTCTGTTTAGCAGTCAAGTGCCTTAGGCACTATGCTACACTGTCACTGAGTTGATTCCAACTCACAGCAACCCCCACTGGGTTTCCAAGGCTGTAAATCTTTACGGAAGCAGACTGCCCCATCTTTCTTCCATAGAGCGGCTTGTGGGTTCTAAACCACTGACCTTTTGCTTAGCAGCCAAACGCCTTAACTGCTATCTATACCACACAGCATGGAAAATCCTACTCTGTCACATGGGGTCACTGAGGATTGGAATCGACTCGCCGATACCTACAACAAATGGGAGGCACGCCACCGCCTACATCACGGGGTCGTCCTGTGAGCGTGGAAGGAGTGCTCCAACACCAGTGTTCTCTTGGCGTGAGGACCAACCGTCCCCACCCCCAAGGCGGGCACCTCAGCCAGACACTCACTCTCGGGAGCGTTTTCCGAGGTGCCACGAACGTCCTGGGACGAGATGAAGACATCAGCCCCCTCCTCCAGGCTGGGGGCCTTCTGGCTTAGCCGCTGGCCCACAGTGGTCACGTGGGTGTAGAAGCGGTCACCTGTCACCTTGTGGTCCAGGGCCAGCCCGCTGAGCTTGATCTTCTTCCTGCCAGTGGCCAAGCCAGAGCGTGTGAGAACCAGCCACACAGGGACCACCCCACCAGCCAGCCTGCCTCTAGGAGGCTGGCCCAGCCTGTGCCAGGGGCTCTGAGAATCCCTTGACCCAGCACAGCCACGTCTAGGCCAGGCCCTATGTGGGCTGCTCAGCGCCCGGTCCAGGGCTTAGCAGAGGTGCCTAAGAAGTGAAGTGCAGATGAGTCATTTTTCTTGGGTCATTCCCAAGGAGGAGGCGGCATTAGGAACCCAGACTCCGGAGTCAGACAGCAGAGTTCCGGCCTTAAAGAGTCACCTGCCCCTTACAATGGCATGACCTTTGCTCCCCGACCCTTTCTCTTCTGCACCTGTAAAATGAGTTCATAATAAAACTCCCATCATAGGGCTGCCTGACAACAGCAGGAGGCAAAGCACAGTAGGCACTCGATAAATGGCAGCTGTTCGACTGTCACACTGATGTGTTCCGCTATCTCCCTTCCGGGCTCACATGTCTGTCCTCTGTGCCGCTGCTGGGTCCCTCCTACCAAACCTCGTAAGGATAACAACCACTGCGACGGCCACTGTGTTGTGAGCACCCGCTACGAACCAGCTCTATTACTCAAAACATCTGCACGTGAGACACAGATGAGACAGCTGAGCTTTGCACCCAGCTGCTCCGCCGAGCAGAGAACCCAGTCCGGAGCTCTCTGACTCCAAAGCTGATTCTGTCCATCACACTACAGGCCTCCTGGCCTCCCCCACTGCAGCGAGGAGAGCCCCCTCCTCACCACCGCACCCCACACTCACGTGTAATCAACCTCCTCAGGGGCTGGAAAGGCTTCGCTGGGCCAGTTGAGGGCACAGTTCAGGAAGATGAGGCAGGCCAGGCCGGACCAGGTGAACATGATGACCACGAAGGCCACCCCGGCATCATAGATCAGCTGTGGGGGGGGGGGCGGGCCTGAGGGTGGGAAGCACCCCACCCACGCACACTCTCAAACTCCTTTGGGGGTGGTGAGCAAGAGCCCTTGAAACCAGCCAACAAAGTGTCCCAACTCATGGAGTCGGAGGGGCAGACCACGGCCCAGCTGAAAGGGCACTTTGATTTCATTTGACATCATGTCTTCCAGCCCCTTCCAGCCTGGGGGAGAACCCGGGACTCCGGGGCCTTGGAGAAGGTCTCTCCTACTCCACTCCTTCTCCAGTTTACAGGTGAAGAACCCAAGGCCGGAAGTTAGAGCCACACCTGGAAGATCATCTTCCCTTTCACCCAAGCCCCCTAAAGAAGCATGAATCAGTTCCTACAAAGTGGTGAAGCAGCCGGCCCCAGCTCCAATGTGTTTGAAGTCTCCGTTATCATCTGTAATATAACTCACAAAACGCACTGCCCTCGAGTCAGATCCAACTCATAGCAGCCCCTCCTTGGGTTTCCAAGGTGGCATCACTACGGAAATAGACTGCCCAATCTTCTTTCTGAGGAGTGGCTGGTGGGGTTTGAACCACCAGCCTTCTGGTTAGCAGTCAAATGCCTTAGGCATTATGCCACCAGAGCTCCCATCTGTAATATGTGCACACATTTTACCTTGACTCCATAAACCTCCATGTTTGTTTTCACAAATACAAAATATCATTTCATATTATCTACAAAAGAGGAAAACTATAGCTCAAGGTTAACCCAGAGCCAGGAGTAGCCATGCTGATGCTGTCCCTTCCTGGAAAGTTCACTGAGGAAAGGTAAACGTAGCGTGAGAAGTCTTATCTTGCCTTTCACAGGCCTCGCAGGTGTGCCCAGCCCCAGGCCAAGAAGGTTCTGTATCGATCTGGATTCCGTTCCAGCGTGTCGGCCCCGCTGCTGGGGCGGCCGGTGCACAGTTTCTGTTCCTTCCTCCTGTGCCCCCCCTCCGCAGCATCCTCTACCTGGGATGATGTGTGGCCTTTGGCTCCATGACAACCTGTGCTGGGCACCACAGGGAGCGATACACTTTTTCTTTCCTGGAAGCAGGGCAGGGCCTCAAAGGGCCACACCCCCAAATTTGAGGGTTTAGATCTGGGTCCTCGAATCCCACTCCCTTACTTGAGAAGGAGAACCGCTCACCCTCCATGCCTACTGCTACCTGAGCAACATACCCCACCCACAAACACGCTCAAATTCCTCTGGGAATGCTGAGCAAGTGCCCTCCAAACTAGCAAATGAACTGCCCAAGTTCAAGGAGTCTGAGAGGCAGACCACAGCCCAGCTGAAAGGGTGCTTTGATTTCACATGACAGAGGATGAAATGGGGACGCCAGCTTGCACCGAGCTGGCTCTTGGCCCACAAGGCTGATTTGTCTAGGATCTAGCCTGGCACAGACCACCTTTGTGACCTTGAACCCAAGTCACCCAGCATCTCTGGGAGGTGTGGAAAGAGAAGGGCCTTAACAGGTTGATGGAGGCTGGAGGCTGGAGCCTTGAAAGCATGGGAAGAGGTTGGACTTCGCTCTGTAGGTAAAGCAGAACCACTGAGGCTTTTCAGTGGATGTGTGAACGAGGCCTGTGTGTGAAAGATCATTCTAGAAGCCATGCAAAAGACAGACTAAACCCAAGAACTAGACGAGTTACCATCAGGTGGATTCTGACTCATGGTGACCACCTGTGCATCAGAATAGAATCACGTGCCACCAAGTTTTCAATGGCTGATTTTTAATATAGATTTCCAGGTCTTTCTCCTGAGGCTAGACTTGAACTTTTAACCTTTCGGTTAGCAGCAAGCATGTTAACGATTTGCACCTGCCAGGGACCCACGACAGACTAACCAAAACCAAACTCACTGCTGTCGAGTCAATTCTGACTCACAGTGACCCCTCCTTGGGTTTCTGAAGCGGTATCACTACAGAAGTAGATTGCCCAACCTTCCTTCTGAGGAGTGGCTTTGTACCACCAGCCTTCCAGTTAGCAGTCAAATACCTTAGGCACTGCAGCACCAGAGCTCCTAAACCAAACTCACTGCTATTGAGTCGATTTCCAACTGATAGTGACCCCCTTTGGGTTTCCAAGGCAGTAAATGACAGACTAGAGACAGGAAAGATCAGAGGCACAGAAACAGCTGACACAGGCTGCCCCGGCCCAGGAGAGATGATAAGGGCCTGGACGGAGAACACAGGGAAGGCCAGCAGGAGGCAGGCTGCAGACAAGGCAGACCCACTAGTCAGCCGCAGGGCTGGACTCATCCCATGATGCCTTAGTGCTTCGGGGAGCGACAGTGGAAACTAACCCGTGAGTGGCAGGAATCACGTCACTACACGTACCAGGCATCCCTCTCCAGTTTTCCTTTTGCTGTTGTTTGCTGTTTTAAAATTGTGGCAAAAATATAAATAGGAGCCCTAGCGGTACAAATGGTGAAACGTTGCTAACTGGAAGGCTGGTGGTTCAAACCCACCCAGCAGCTCTGCAGCAGAAAGACCTGGCAATCTGTCTCCACAAAGATCACAGCCTGGAAATTCCTAGGGAACAGTTCTACTGTCACATGGAGTCACTGTGAGTGGAAAACTGACTTGACGACACCTAACAACAATACATTTGCCAATTCAACAATTTCTGAATATACAATTCAATGACATTAATCACATCCACCATGTCCATTTCCATATTATGCTGCCACTCTTCAGAGAAAGTCATGCTGCTGTTGTTGTTGTTATGTGCCGTCAAGTCGGACCCGACTCATAGTGACCCCTCCTTGGGTTTCCGAGGCAGTATCACTATGGAAGTAGATTGCACAACCTTCCTTCCCAGGAGTGGCTGGTGGGTTTGAACCTTCAGCCTTCTGGTTAGCAGTCAAGTGCCTTAGCCACTATGCTACCAGAGCTCCTAGAGAAACTCATAGCCCTTCATCATGCCACCTCTTTCCCTCATCCCTCCCACCCCTGGTAACCACTAAGAAAGAAGCTTTGGTCTCTGCCTACGTCATGTGAGTGAGATCATACAATAGTTGTCCTTTTGTGCCCAACTTATTTCACTCAACATAATGGTCTTAAGTTTTATTCATGCGTGTAGCATGTATCAGGACTTCATTTTTATTTATGGCTGACTCTCACTCAGTCATAAAGGGAAGGGACCAAAGAGGAACCCCCTTTGGTCCCCCAGCAGCTCCATACCTTGATAGCGGGGAACGTGATGGCGGAAGAGGCATAGGAACCGATCATGAGGGCCATGAAAGTGGAGCGCAGGTTCCCAAACATGTTGGGCAGCTGGGGGAGAAGAGAGCAGTGCCAGTGAGCAGGGGCAGTCCTGGCAGCAGCCTAGGCCTCACCTTACCCAGACCCACCTGAGGAAGCTTGACAGCATCCAAGTGAACTCCTGGAACTAAGCCCCCACAACGCAACAGAAGAGTTCTCAGGCAAAATCAGTGTGGGAACCAAACTCTGACCCCTCCTGCGACGCCTCCAATGCATTTTATTCCTTTTACCCCAAAAGTTTTAGTTTGTTATTTATGGACCCCTTTATTGTATGACATTTCTCCCTAACCAACAGGGCAGGTGTTCAAGAAACACTAATGAAGTCCAACTCATCTGACTGGTCACAGAGTGAGCTAATGACTATTTCCCCTGGTTCTGGCTCTCCCAGGTCCCCAGGCTGTGACCATGGCTGACACTACAACAGATCACTGCTGTTCGCCTTTGTCAGACTTGATTCTGACTCTTGGCGACCCTACATGTGCAAAAAGAATAGCAACATAGGGTTTTCAAGGCTGTGACCGTTGGGAAGATCACTGACACCTCTGGGTGGGTTCAGACTACCATCTTTTCAGCTAGTAGCCAAGGGCTTAACCACGTGTGCTACCCAGGGACTCCTCAGGTGGTGGCCTCCATCCTCCTGGCAGCCCCAAAGCCTACTGCCCACAATATCTGCTGAGCCAGGACAAGTCATGGAAGGACCAGGGAGGTGACCATGGGACTAAAGAAGGGACAGGCCAGGCCTCCAGAGGAGGTGAAATTCAGCCAAAAGCAGCAGACCAGGCTGACAACTCCCACCAACAGAGAATGAATTGATGGCATATTCTGCTCAGGTGGCCTGAGCTAGTACCCCTGAGGGAGCAAAAGGCAAAGTCACTATGCCCTTTATGAAACACTCCCTCTACCCCCCCAACCCCTCCCATGTCACCAGATGCCATAGCCTTAGACAACCCCTCTCCACTTTCCTTGTTCCCAGGCGTGAGGCTACAGACCTTCAAAGAAATAACTTTGGGAAGGACAGTAGGCACACACACACAAACCTAGACCCAATGCTGCTGAGTCAATTCCAACTCACGATGACCCACGTGTGGCAGATTAGAACTGCTCTGAAGGGTTTTCTTGGCTGCAATCTTTACGAAAGCAGATTTCCAGGTCTTTATTCCTCGGCAGGCTGGGCGAGTTTGAACTAGTAACCTTTAGAAGTTGAGTCCAAACCTCGCTCATGCCACCCAAGGACCTTGGAAGGTGGGCAACACAGAGAGTTAAGAGCCGTCCCCCCCTCCATCTAACAAGAGGCTCTGAAAGGGAAGGGGGAGCCAGACTGGCCTCCAACTCGGACAGAGGTTTCCCTGGCACCTTGTGTCTGCAAGGCATGTTGCCAAGAACACGCGGAAAGGGAGCCAGGGCCAGGGCGGGTGACCAGCACCCAGGGGAAGGGTCTGTGGACGCTGTGTCCACCCAGCATGAGGGGTGGGGTGCAGAGGCCGGCTCAGCACCGCGCGCGCGAGGACCAGGCCAGCGCCAATACCCTATGGGCCCTGGCACTGGTTGTCCCCAAGAGCACAGCGGTCGGGGGCGGGGCAGGCGCGGGGCCCTGCCATTGGCTGCAGATTATGGGCGCGGGGAATGGGGCGGGGCGGCGGCCGAGTCCCGAGAGTCCCGAGTCCCGGGGAGCCTGCAGCAGCTTGAGGTCTTGCCCCTCGCTGGGAGAGGAGGGGTTCTAGGGCCTTGAGCCAGGCGCACAGTGTGGAGAAGGGCTGCAGAGGGACGGGGAGGAAGGGATTTGCTTCCCTCAGTTGTGAAATGTCCTCGCCTAGAGTTCAAGGCGGCTGCTGGGGTGAGGTGAAATTCAGCCAAAAACAGCAAGTTTGGCCGTCAGGCGGCCCTCAGCAGAGATAAACAGTCCGAGGCCAGTCCAGCCAGGAACACACACATTCACAAGCCCTTAACCCTTTTGCTCACACACTCACAGACATGCCCACTTACCTTTACAGTAACACACATACACAACGTGAAAGGTCTGTCCGTAGGCTGAACATGGTCAGGCCTCAGCAACTTCACACGCCTGGACCCGCCCACCCGTGCTCTTTCCCTACAGCGTCTCACCCACACCCCACAGAGTGGCAGACACACGGTCTCCAGCTGCCCCCTCCCCGGCACGATCACATCACCCAGTTTCATATTCTTCCTAGCACTTCCGGACTGCTGACATAATTTCTTCCTTTACGTGTTTATGAGGCACCTGTTCCCCTATCTCCAGGGAGGTAAGGACACTGTAGGTCTTGTTTGTGCTGTGACTTGAGCAATGCAAACCCTCTCTCCCCATCCCACCCCCAGCCCCAACACACAGTCTCCCGCAGCTCACACCATTCCACCGGGTGCACTCGGCCCCTCTCCCACTCCCACTGCCCCCACCCACTCCTGGGTGGCTGCCAGATCTGGCCAGTCATACTCACAGTGAGTGAAGTGAACGTTAGGCAGATACCACCAAAGCCATTCAGGGACAGTGCCAGGAATATCAACGGAGACAGAACTGGGCAGGGGGAGAGGTATGGATAAGGGCATTTGGGAGTTAGGATCAGTGTCAGCCTTCATCCCACCCATGCTTGTCTTGTGGGGGCACAAGAGACCAGGCAGCTCACCTTCGGTGTTCCGAGAGGCCAAGGCCATGAGGGTGCAGGATGCAGCAAAGCAGGCACTGTGGGGACGCCAGGAAGGTGGGAGGGTTGGCCTGGGAGCAGTCTGAGGTCCCCACCCCCAGCAGCACCCTCCAGCCCCCACAGCCTAGCTCACCTGCCCATCAGCCTCATTGGCCGTGGGCCAAAGTGGTCCATGAGGATCCCCAGTGGCAGGGTGGTGGCGCTGAGCACGAAGGAGCCAATCGTGAAGCCCAGGTTGAGCATCTCGTCCTGCCAGTCACAGCTGATCCACTGAGGCCACTGGTCCTGGGTGACGCTGCTGGTGTTCTCAACTGAAGTGGGAGGGCAGGAGGGCACTTAGCACATGAGGACAGGTGCAGCTGGACCAAGCGGGGAGCGGCCGGGGATGAGGTCTTTCGTTCAAAACGCCTGCTTCTGATTTACTGACAACTGCGTGACTTTGGGTGGCTTGGAGTCATGCCTGCTCTGGTGCAGGCTGAGGGTGAGGTTCCATAAATTATGGTGAGACTCCCAGGAGCCACATATCCAGTGTGAATCCTCTAGCTCAAACACAGTAGTCACCCGGGTGTGCAAATGGATAACTCTTCCTGCTGCTAATCAAAAGGTTGGAGGGTTCCGTCTACCCACAGGCACCTTGGAAGAAAGACCTGGCAGTCTACTTCCAAAACATCAGCCACAGAAAACGCTACGGAGCATAGCTGTTCTCTGACACACATGGGGTCACTGTGAATCAGAATCAACTCAATGGCAACTGTTGTTGTTGTTGTTGTTATGTGCCGTCGAGTCAAACTCGACTCATAGCGACCCCTCCTTGGGTTTCCGAGGCAGTATCACTACAGAAGTAGGATTGCCCAACCTTCCTTCCGAGGAGTGGCTGGTGGGTTTGAACCGCCAGCCGTCTGGTTAGCAGGCAAGTGTCTTAGCCACTATGCTACCAGAGCTCCCCAATGGCAACTAGTTTGGGTTTAATATTCACTTTATATCCAAACTTAGAGGGTTGTAGACCCTGAACAAGAAGCATCTCCAAATCTGGGCACAGAGTCAGGGATTGGTGCTCTAAAGGATGTAACAAGAATTCACTTAAAGCTTAGAGAAAGCTTCCCCAACAAACAGCATGCGGGTAATAATATTTATGGAACGCTTACCACGTTCTGGGCACTGTCCTAAACAGTTACTTCATCAGTTCACAACACCGCTGAGTGACCCAAGAGAATACCTCCGTTCTGCAGATGCCAAAACCGAGGCCTGCCCTCTAGGACCCTTCTGCAGCTCACCTGGAGGACCTGTCCTGAGGCAGGCTTCCGACTTTGAACTGTGACAAGGTGATGAGAAAGGCGAGGGGACGGGGAAGGAGGAGGAATTCACTTGATTCAACAGTCAGTCCCCCATGGTGGCTGCCCCTCCCTCACTGCCAAGGGCAAGCTCAGGACACACCTGGGAGGGGACAGACTAGGGTCTGAATTCCCACCACCATCTTTACAAGCTGTGCAAGCTTGGACAAGTAGCTTCCTCTCTGAGCCTTGGACACCTTAGCTACAAAAGGTAGCCAAGAATGACTAAACCGTAGGGTCCTCAGGATTCAACTGGAGAAAGTGGGCCAAGAGGTGGTGTTCCTGGAACAGCTGAGAAAGGAAAAAGGCTGGCTCTCCTGGAGGGTCCCCACTGGATTCTAGGTGCTGGGGACCCCACAGTGAAAAAGACAGGAAGTCTTCCACTCCCATTAGTTCATATTAGACAAGAAAGCAAATGGATGCTGATTGCAAGAGTGGCAATGCCCCCACAAGACCAAAAGGGCAGCATTTGCCCAAAACCGAAGTTCAGAAGGCAGGAAGGGGCAGCAGCGAAGGACGAATGGAAATGAGGAACTCAGAGAGGAAGTGAGAAGAGTGCTCTTACATTGAAGAGACTGCAACCATCACAAAACAAACTGTGTATAAATTATTGAACGGGAAACTAATGTGCTCTGTAAACTTCCACCAAAAACCACCATAAAAAGTTCAAAAAAGGTGACAGATGCTGTGAAGAGAATACAATGGGGATGTTTTAGAGCCTAGATGCTTGGAGCGGGGGGCATCTGCACCGAGGCTCAGACGTGGACAAAGACCCTCACTTCAAACATCCAAAAGGTGTGCATGGCTGAACTGATGTGACCATGAAGAACTTTCAGGTACTGAGTGCTGGCCAAGCCAGGAAGGGGCTGCCTTGGGCATGAGGAATTCCTGTGGTGCCAGCTGCCAGGGAGACTGAGAGGATGCTCAGGCACCTGGACCAAGTGGTTAGGGGTTTGGACCACGAAGCCTTTGGGGTTCGGGCCAGCCCCCTAATTTTGTGATCTTTATGGTCATTGTGCATTTCTCGAGTGCAAGGTGTGCCCCCCCACCCCCAGAGGCATATAGCAAGTATGGTATGTGCCCTAGGTGCCACTTGAAGGGGGTGCCACTGAGTGGTGTCTATTAATCATCCCCCAGTTTCCATCACCAGCTGTGAGACCATTCAGCAAGTTAAAACTAATACTTTCGTATTTGAGAGCCTCTATTGGGTCAAGGAGGAGCTCTGGTAGCGTAGTGCCTAAGGCACTTGACTGCTAACCAGAAGGCTGCTGGTTCAAACCCACCGGTCACTCCTCAGAAGGAAGATGGGGCAATCTACTGCCGTAGTGATATTGCCTTGGAAACCCAAGGAGGGGTAGCTGAGTCGGGTCCGACTTGACGGCACACAACAACAACAACTACGTGGGTCACGGCAGACTGTATGACCTGGCTCTACTGAGTGCAGAAAGACACTGAAAAACTGACTCTGAGCCCATCCTAGACCGCTTTTTATCAGTGAAAGCAAGCAAGATGCAGTTGTAACTTTCACGTAGTGCCATCATGTGTTGAGTAAAAGATTTACAAGCTTGACTTGTGCTTTTGAGCTCGTATTATGGTGAAGTTATCTAAAAGGTGGGTGTCAGATGTTTGGACAGGCGCACTATTTCAGCACTTGCCACAGGCGTTATCCTCCACAGGTGTGATCCTCGTCTGCACCCCCCTACAGTCAACAATTTGGCCTCTGGTCCTGGTTCCTGAGAGCTGAACCACACCTGAGGCCGATGAGTAGGGGCTCACCAGCCCAAAAGGGACCACCTGGAGGCCTGATGCTGACTAAACCTCAAGAGACATGATGTAATCTATGGTGACCATGTAACAAGGCCAATCGACACCTTGGAAAAAAAGGCTCAGTGGAGCCTCCTGGGTATTAAGAGTGAACATCTGCTCCCAGAAGGATACATGGAGGCTTTGCACTGAGCCTCCTGGGCCGCACCCTATGTGTTTCCATCTTTTTTTTTCTGCTAGATTAATGATAGCCCTTCCCCTGGAGTCTGTGAGAAGGGGGCCAGTACCCGAGGACCTAGCCCTGGGTGAATGGAGATTAGAGAAGGGCTGAGTAGAGCAACCGGGGTCTGGACTGATCAGGGAAGGGAAGCTGAGATTCCTACAGAACGCGGTTGGCAGGCAGAGTGGGGTTTATTATCCACCACACATTTGGCATTAGAAGCGGATGATCTCAACCCTCCTGGACTGGTGTGCCACACGGGCATAGTGTGCAGAACCCTGTTGATCGGTTCTGCAGCTTTCGTCTGCACTGTTTATTCATTCTCCTCACCGGGCATCTACTGCATGCCATGCTATGTTGGGAGAGTGGACAAAGCAGGAAGAAATGCAAAGGCAATTTAGACCCGAGGCTGCAAACAGGTGACCAGCACTGACTGCACACATGTTTTGTTTGGCTCACAGTGTTGCCCTTGTAGTGCTGTAAATTTTAATTGGGTGCCAGTTTAAAATCAGGAGACAGTACATAAAACTCCGGATTTCTGGCTTCTCTTTAAAAGGTCGAAAGATGACCACTGCTGGGGGTAGGTGGAGGCCACCCCTTTTCATCATGGTTTGCCTTTCAAGATCACCCATGTCTTTACCTCTTCTTCAGTTCCCAGGCATTTGCCATCTTACACCTGCCCTGGTTTGCATGATTATTATTATCTGCCTGGCCCCCATTGGCATGAGTTTGCAGCCCTTGAATTAGATGCTGGCCCAGCTCTGAAATCTGTCATAATTAAATGACAAATTATCTCAAAAATAAGCCCACTAACCATAGTGGGTTTTTTGACATCAAGCTCAATTGGCATAACATACTACACAAAAAATTGTTCTACCTCCTATTTTGGCAAGTAGCAACTGGGATGTTAAAAGTTTGCAAGCAGCTATCTCGATGCAACGATGGGTCTCTCCTCGTCCAGAACAAAAAAGAATGAATAAAACCAAAGATTCATGGAAACAATTAGTCCAAGCAACTGGTACACCATGCAATCCGCAGCCTATATGACCATGAGACTAGCAGAACTAGATGGTGCCTAGGTTGTGGTCACTGCTTGGTCACAGCCAGCTACCCAGAGCGACTGAGTAGTTGATCCTGTGGGCTTGGGACCTTAGTCGCAGGGGACATCAAGGTCAATTGGCATAACATACTATACAAAACATTGTTCCATCTCCTACTTTGGCGAGTAGCAACTGGGATCTTAAAAGCTAGCAAGCTGCCATCTAGATGCAACGATGGGTCTCTCCTCATCAAGAGAAAAGAAGAATGAAGAAAACCAAAATTCATGGAAACAATTAGCCCTAGAGACTGGTACACCATCCGATCTGCAGCCTATATGACTATGAGACCAAAAGAACTAGATGGTGCCTGGATACCACTGTCAAACACTCAGAGGGGATCTATGTAGGAGATCCTGGATAGAGAGGGAGAATAATGTGGAACAAAACTCAAAATCATTTGGAGGGGAAAAAAAAAAAAGATAGTGGGGACCAGGTTTGCTGGTCCAATAGAGCCTGATGATGAACCACTGAGACTATGGCCCCTAGCAGCCCTTCAGGTCTGGAATTGAACCCACACCTGTGGTTTCCAGCTAAGCAAGGTACAGGCATGTGAGTTAAACATTTACCTCAAGTAGACACACACCCTGGAGAGAACAATCATGGGAGAAGGAAGGGCTGCTTATGCACAGGGAGATAGCTCAGGGGGCAGGAGAGTATGGAGGGATGGACACTGGGAAGAGGTAACTGTGGGGAGGAAGTGGGAGGGCAGCTGTTGGCATTCTGGTAAACTGTGGTCAATGACATGCAACAAAGTATATGTGAACTGCTGTATGGAAAGTGAATTTGCTCTGTAAATCTTTACCCCAATCACAAAAAAAAAAAAAAAAAAAGAACTAGATGGTGCCTGGATACCACTGTCAAACACTCAGAGGGGATCTATGTAGGAGATCCTGGAT